GGAATCTGAGTCAGGCCTGGTGGATCCGGCCGTCTGCGCCTGATGCCGCCTCTGGTCTTCTTGACTCTATCTTGACACCGGAAATAGGCAAATGAAGGGAAGACAGTTTAGGCTAGATGAAACGCAAATCCACTATCACTACGAACCCGCGCGTAAGTCACCGTCCCTGCACCATCACACTGTGTGCCACAAGACGGACATCGCCGGAATCGGTGGTCGAACTGCCATAGAACACGATTAGACCAGTGAAGCCGAGGAAATTCGGAAAAATCTTCTAGCTGTGCCCGAGATGACGTATTCCGTGGATCTTCTCTCCAGTTCTCATATTAAATATCGGATAACCTAAAGATAATTATATAATTTTAGCGCTTGGTGCGTTTTTATCTTCTACGTACGATCATAAAATAGTTTTTAATAAGCAAACCCCCTTAAAATAAATGAAACCAAATGGGTTCTGCAATTTTACCTACAGTGAGTGAAATGCAACTTAATACGCATTTAACCTGTTCGGAATCCATTTCTCAACTTTGCCCAAATGAAAGAATGCGGCTTCGGTTAATAAACGAATCCGCCACCTACACCTAGCAAGATGTTGTTGTTGTACGGCGAATTCTCTGGTTGACATGGTCGTGTAGTAAAAAACCGATTTCGATTTCAGTCAATTTACGCATGCTTTGAACGGTTATTTTCATCCTTTTACGAGGTTTTTAGAATTTTTTTTACCTACACGTGTTTGAAAGTTGCAACACGAAGTTCTTTTTATCATTTCGATGGTAATCCGTCATATACGCGGGCAAACATTAACGTCTCAGCTTCTACGGGGGCTAAGGTCAGTGGACAGTCCCGACGCAAAGGTATCAACCTCTTCACCGGAATGCGTACAAAATACATTAATTGATCAAGCGAGATTTTAACATGACCAACAGGACTTTCGCTCAGGTCTTAATTTACTCCAATCGCATTATCTTCTTTTGCCTACAGGAGCCGCAAAAGCAACTGCGGATAACAAGAATACCACAGAGGAAGTTTCTTCCGAAAAACCCGCTTCTGAGAATTCATCAGCTACAGCGAACAGTAAGTCCCAATACCTTGAAACACGCCTAGACGTCTCTTGGTCTTGGTTATTTCTTTTCCTTGACTATTCAGGTAAGATCGACTATATCAGTTACGACCAAACGTGGAGTGCTTTTTCCACGTGTGTTCTATACATAAAATTAACCAGGAATGGTGCCTGCATAAGCCAATAAATGCACAGAGCAGTTGTTGTTTAAAGCCCAGGGGTACTAGAGGAATTTTACAAGTTGGGGAATGTTTCCATTTAGACTTAATAGGACCTCCAACTACCACTTCTGTCAATCGATTGATCTTCCCCCGAATGACTCGTGAAAACCATCGATTTTATTCAGAGTGTCAAGTAGATGTCGTTGTTGTAAACAGCTGCTGCTTTACTGAACAGACTTGGGAATTCAAATACGCACCCTGTTATCAAAAATCAAAATTTAATACTTTTTTAAACAGCTTTTCGCTCTTATTCGTGCCACCTATTTCTTAACAAATGCCACCTTCCGCTGTTGTTCTTAAAATATGCTCACAATAAAAAACCGTATCTCAACGAAAACGAAAGGAGACTCCAAGGATACACGCTCTGTACGTTTTTGGCTTACACGTTCAGGGGAAGCCCTGACACAGTGATATAACATTGCACTTGATACAAGCAGTTCCAAAACAGCCTAAGACTGCACTGATCGTACTAGTTTTGCTCAGAAATTTATGACCAGGTACCCCCACTGAGTTTTAACTGATTACAAAATCTATCAACTCATCAGTGAACATCTTCCCGTGGCCAGCACTGCTTCTACCCATAGGGACATTTTACTTTATTTACATTATCTTATTTTGTCTATAGAAGTCCCGAAGGCAACTGCGGACAAAAAGGATACCAGTGAGGAAGTTTCAGTCGAAGCACCCGTCACTGAGCATTCATCAGCTACAAAGAGCAGTAAGTTCTACTACTTTCTACATTGTAGCACGCTTATACGTCTCTTGGCTTTTAATTATTTCTTTGCCATGACTATTAAGGTAAGATCAATTGTATTAGTTGTGACCAACGCTCGGACTGTTTTTTAGGAGTTTGATGATCTTGGAGTTTTTCAGGTGAATTTAACAGCACTAATGACGGAGACGATAATTGCATAAGCAGACAATAAATAAGATGGGTGTTTTGTCATGTCTAGGGATAATAGAGAGCTTGTAAAAGCCGGGAAAGGTCATCCAACTACTACTTCTGGTAATTGATCGATGTGTCCTCCCGACTGACCACGCCAAAAGCCGATTTCATTTCGAGCGTCCGACAGATCTTCTAATTGTGACTTACTGCTGTTTTACCGCACAGACTTTGCGAATTCGAAAATGCACAAGCTTAGCAAAATAAATAATTTCAGACTAAATTAAACAGCTTGCCGACTTAATTCGTACCAGCTGTTTCGTTACAGATACCACATTCTGGCGTTGTTTTGAAGATATGCTGACCGTTAAAGCATGTATTTTAACGAAAACAAACGAGGATTCCGGGTGCAGATGCCACGTGGGTTTTTAACTTACGCGTTCAAAAAAAGAACTAACCCAGCAGAACAATATAGAATGTGCAAAACAGACCACCTAAAAACAGCTTGGGACTGCATTGATTGTACTAGTTTTGTTCAGAAGTGTATGAAGAGGTGCCTTGAGTGGGTGTTAAATGCCTACAGAATCGATTATAGGCAGAAGTAGATTAGCGACAAAGGCAAGACAAAAAAGACAAAAACAAGTATCGATTAGTTGTGTAATGAACAACTGATCAAAAGTACTTTCGTTCGAGTGTTAATTTACCTTATTTACATTATCTTCTTTTGTCTACAGAAGCTCTAAAGGCAACTGCGGACAACAGGGATACCATCGAGAAAGCTTCCGTCGAAGCTTCCGCCTCCGAGCACTCACCATCTACAACGAAAAGTAAATCATACTACCTTTTCAAACGCCTAGGCATCTGTTACTTTTAAATGTTCATTTCTCTTGACTATTTAGATAAGGTTAATTTTTTAGTAGTCCTGAGCAACGTTCAATACGTTTTTTTGGATGGTAGATGATCTCCCAAGTATTCAGGCGAGTTCTACTCATAAAATCAGCCAAGGATGGTTCTTCGGTACGCAAATTAATTCGTCGAACAGTTGTTTCATCAGAATCAGGAGTAAAAGAGAATATTTAGAAGCCAGGAACTATATTCATTTAGAGACGATGGGTCCTCCAACTACCTCTGTCAATCGATCGATATTCCTCCCCCCGACTGACACCCGGCAAGAACCGACTGTATTTGGAGTACCGAGCATACATTTTACTTATAAAAAGCTGCTGCTTTACTGAACAGACATTGGGGATTATGAACACATCCTGTTAACAAAACACAATCTAAGACTGGATTCAGTATCAGTTTCAGTATATTGAGGGATATGTGGGAAAAATTCCTTTGAGTGCCCTATTTGTA